TCCAGGACGGATCTGGTGTACATCCGCATCAAGGGGAGAAGTCTGGGGGAGGTACCCCTTTTTTCTAAGATTTCCCAGTGTCCTCCCAATTGCCTCTAGGTATTTTTGGGTTGCTGTTTCCCCTTCCAAGTAGTTCCCTGTACTGAAAGGAGTGATAAGGAAAGGAAGCCCAAACATCATTTCATAGGGGGAAACCCCTATGTCTGACCGGGGTCTGGTTCTTATCCGCAAAAGGGCAAGAGGTAGGCACTTAAGCCAATTCATTTGTGTTTCAGAAATTAATTTTGTTAACACGGTTTTGAGAGTTTTATTCATTCTCTCTACTCTCCCTGAACTCTGGGGACACCATGGGGTATGTAACCTCCATTTCATTCCCAGAGCCTTAATTACTTCATGTAAAGCTTGGGTGATGAAATGTGGACCTCGATCTGAATCAATATTATTTACTAGTCCATACCATAGAACTATTTCTTCTAAAATTATCCTTGCAACTACCTCTGCCATTTCCTTCCTGGTGGGGAATGCTCCCACCCAGTGGGTGAGATGGTCTACCATTACTAATAGATGTTATCCTTGTATGGGGGGCATTTCAGTGAAGTCCACTTGTATATTTTGAAATGATCTTAAAGTTAACTCTCTTCCTCCAGGTGTTATTTTTCTCATAACCTTTTGGTCTACTTTTTGGCAGATGACACACCCTTTTGTAACTGCTTTTGCTAGATTATATACCCCGATACATATGTTCTCTCTTAAGAAGTGGTCACATAACCCTTGGATTCCCCAATGGGTTAATTCATGCATTTCTGATAATATTTTTCGTGCTAAAGCCCTGTTTAGGAACTTACGCCCATCAGATGTCAACCATTCCCCTTGTTCCCCCTGATGTAATCCTAGTTCTTTTATTTCCTTTAACTCATTCTCACTAAATGTTGGTTCCTTTTCTTCTTCCCCTTTACTTGGTGTTTCCTCTAGTCTCAAGATTTTTATTGTCTCTTTCAGGTCTAAAGCTACTTCTTTAGCCATCTGGTCTGCTAATTGATTCCCTTTTATTTCTAAAGTTTCTCCCTTCTGATGTCCTTTAACATGCACTACTGCTATTTCTGCTGGTTTATATAGGGATTTGAGTATTAATTTTATCAACTCCTTATGTACCAAGTCCTTTCCTTTTGAATTTAAGTATCCCCATTCCCAAATTTTACCAACTGTATGAACAATCCCAAATGCATATTGTGAATCTGTGTAGATAGTTCCTTTATCTTTCTCTAACAAATCTAACCCTCTTTTCAGTGCGTAGATTTCACAACACTGAGCTGACCAGTTTGATGGCAACTTCCCCCTTTCTGCAACCTTCATGTCTGTCCCTTCTATAATTGCATATCCTGACACCCTTTTTCCCTCTATTACTCTTGAGGACCCATCAGTGAACAAAATCTTTCTATATGGCAAAGGTGTATCTTCTAGATCTTCTCTTATTTTGGTTTGTAGGTTTATTAATTCAATACAATTATGTTCCAAATCAGTTAGGGGTTCCCCAGATAGGAATTGTGTGGGGTTTAGACTTTTGGAGGTATTCAATTCTAAATTGTCATTGTTCATTAGGATAATTTCATATTTTAATATTCGGGAATCCATTAGCTACTGTTGGGCTCCGTGACTTAAGACTGTTTTAAGGTCATGTGGTGTGTGTATTCTGATTTTTCCTTGCAAGGTTAACTTTTGAGCTTCTTCTAATAGGATAGCTGTAGCAGCAATTGCTTGTAGGCAAGTTGGCCAACCTCTAGCTACTGGGTCTAGCAGTTTTGATAAAAATGCAACAGGCTTTTTACTTCCTCCCCATTCTTGGGTCAACACCCCATACACTATTCCTTTCTCTGTGTTTACAAATAGCTCAAAGCCCTTCTTAAGTTCAGGCAGGCTTAGCACGGGTGCTGAGGATAATTTGTTTTTTAAATCTTGTAATTGTTCTTCATCTTCTGCTGTCCACTTTACTGGCTCAGGGTTGACTAACTTGTCATAGAGAAATTTAACACTTTGGGTGTATTGATCTAACCACAATTTACAATACCCAAACAAGCCTAAGAGCTTCCTTATGTCCTTTTTAGTTTTAGGGGCAAGGATGGATAAAAGGCCTGCAATTCTCTCAGGACTTAATTTCTTACATCCTTTTCCAATAATGTGCCCAAGATATTTAACTTCAGTTTCTACAAACTGTAATTTGTCCTGGGACACCTTTAACCCCTTCTCCCCTAAGAAATTTAAAAGCTGGATACCGGCCACTTTAATTTTGCTCTGTTCTTCTCCAGGTATTAACAGATCATTTACGTACTGTAAAACCTGTACATTTTCTCCAGGGGGAAATTGTTCGAGTAGGCCTTCTAAAGCTTGTCCAAAAAGGTTTGGAGACTCCGTAAACCCCTGGGGTAAAGCTAGTTTTGTATTACTACCTTGGGGAACAGACTCATTTATTCCTCTGACTATGACGGACCGATAGTCTTTTATGTTCCTCCTCCCTTCCTCATGGTTTGGGTCCCACCCAGGATCTACTGGGGGCCCTAATCTATTTTCTCTCTCCCAAATTCTCATACCAGCTGCCCAAATCATCCTGACCTCTTCTGGGCAGAATAGGATATTAAGAATAGAATTTAACTCTGCCCAAGTATAGATATTAGGCCCTAAAAACTAGTCTACTTGATTTGATATTCTTACTGGATCTTCTACTAAATTCCCCAGATCTTTTTTAAATCCCTGAACCTCAGAGGCTGTCAAAGGAGTGTTTACAAATCCAACTCCTCCAGCCATACCACCCATAGGGACCTCTCTGAGGCGAAAGAGTCTTTCTGCCCTCGATGTTTTAGACCTGGTGTGGCACTAAGGTCCTTCTGCCAGGTCATCACCTTGGGAAGCGGATATATTGGATGTTGTAGTGATATTTGAAGATAACAAGTTTAATTCCCAATCTGGAGGAGGAGTAGGAAGGGTATTGGGCAGTGGAGAGGAGATTGGATCTACTACGGGGGACACTGAGGATGGGGTTAAGGAAATAGGTGAAGGGACAGAGGGGGCTGGAGGCACGGGCAGATTACAGGAAAGTGTTAGGGCGGTGGACTGGATAGGTAAAGGAGTCAGGTTTTGGGTAGGAACACTAAGACCAGGTGATGACTGAATCACTGGTGACTGAGGAATGGAGATTATGGGTTCTGAGGGAATCAAAGGTTTTGCAGTAGAGGTCAAAGGGGGGACTGAAGTTTTTGCAGAGTAAGTTCAGGGAGGAACTTGGGGCATAACTGGGGGGGCTAGAGGAGGGGCTTCAGGTACCGCTGGGTAGATAGGAGGGGGAGACGGTAGATATTCGAGGGGGTCCCATCCCTTGCTTGTTTCTTTTCCTTCCTCATTCCCCTTATCTTTTTCATTTATTTGTAATTTATGTATCTTTTCACTATCACAGCCTGTGGCAATTTCTTGCCAACAGGCGGCATAAGCTAGCTGTTCAAGGTCGGGACAACTTTGAACTCTCAGGTATTGGCTTAGTTGTGAGCATATCCATTGGTCTTGGGTCCCATACCAAGGCCAATCCCCTTGCAGTTGTAGTTTAGGCCAAATCTCTGTACAATAATGAACTAATTTAATTCTATCTAGACCTTTTGTGACTTCCAGAGTATCCCATTTGTCAAGCAGTTGCACAAGAGGGCTATTAGGTGGAATGTTCTTTATCTTTTTCTTGGAGGAGCTTGTTCTTTTACTACAGCACCCTCCCATCTCTTTAAACCTAAACTTTCACTAGCCTTTCTAGGCTCAAGGTCCAAACCTTCCTGTTGGGCCCTTGGGGCTTGTCCTAGTGACCAAACCCCCTACATACCCCTGCACCTCGCCCCAGAGGGACTCTGAGCATTCCTGTTGGACGCTGCCGGGGTCCCTAGCACTAGATCTACCTAAGGACCTCCCCTGCTTAGCCTCCCGCCGGGCTGGATATACTCACACCCTAGACTAAAAGCAGTCCTACATCTAGTGCTGTCTCCTTCCTGAGTTTTTTGTAGAGTCGGGAAAGATCAAAAAGACTCTCAGGGGTTACCTGGGGGTAACCTCTCTGTTACCAGGAGGCCACCCAAGCAGGGCCCGACCCCTTTGCCTTCCACCAGCCCGGCTTGGCCACTCTTCCCCAGAAGAATGACCTCGGCTAAAGGGATGTGTGGGTGTGGGGGTGTGTGTGTGTGTGTGTGTGTGTGTGATGCCTGCCTCACCTGTCCTCACGTGATTCCCAGACTCCCCACCCCTGTGCTCCGGGAAGAGGGTTTACAGCCTCCCTTCCCTGGAGCTGCAACAGCACACCACCTACAGCGCGTCTGGTCCTACCCTGGGGACTGGGGCCTTCCTGGACACTCAGTGCTGGCAGTCCCTGGGGGTACCCTGTAAAGATGCGCACCACTCACTCAACACCTAGGCTTCCCACCTAGGCTTCCGTGCGCCCAGAGTCACCTAGGTCGCCCTCCTTAAGCGGGGGGCCCACCCTAAATGCGTGTGACTCACACTATGGGTTTTCCTCCGCATGCCCGGAGGGGGAAACTTTCTCTATCCCCTAGGAGACGCCTCAAGCATTCACTAGGCCTTGATAGACCTCTCTCGCTTCCCCCTGTTTCTGGCCAGCCCTCTCACGAGAGTCCAGAACAGCTCACCTCCTACTCCCGCCACCAGCTATACTTACCGGCCCTCCTCTGGTTCGTCTGTCCCAGGCTGGTCCTCTGGTCCAAGTTGCTGGCTGTCCTGGAGGTCCGAAGATGGGTGGAGGTCCCATCTCTGGTCCTTCCTCTTCAGGTGTGGCAATCCCGGACGAGCTCCCAAATTGAAATGAATAATGGCAAGGAGACCAGCTCCTGTTTTAATGCCTTTATTGAGAAATCAGCTCTGGGTGGGAGCCCAATGGATCATGTGCACCACCGCTGCTCCCGATGGACGATCCAGAGGAGGAGGAATTCAGCTTTGCTGAACTCAGCTTTGCTGAGCTGGGCCTTCTGTCCTCACAGGAGTCCCGCAGAAGACCCTGGTGGGCTCGTAGTCCAGGGGTGTCATGTCAATCGGGTGCTGTTCAAGTCATGGTGACAAGGCAGGTGGGTCCTAGTTGGTGATTTCATCTTCTTCACTGTTTTTCTTACTTGGGAGTACCATTTTTGGTTTTTGATGTTATATTGGCTCGTTATTTTTAGGGGTTTTTTTATTACTGAGTTGTGTCCCATAAGTACTTGCGATCTTCTCATTTGCTAGGCATAATTTTTGGGAGCAGCGAAGGTGTTACCGACAGGGAGGGAAAGGGCACAATGGCAAGACAATTCCAGGGAGTGGGGATCAGAACAGAACAACAGCAACAATTAACATAAAAACAGTGTGTTTTCCACAGTTAACAGAACATTAACAGAACAAACAGGAGCTTGTTAGTAACAGTCACTGCCTCTTTTATAGGCAGTTTTTGATGGGGCTATGTCATGCCTACTGTGCTGGGGTTCAACTCCGAGCAAGCCTGAACATGTTAGCACTTAAGCATCAGTGGCTACAAGCCCCCAACAGGTCTGGGCAAGGCTTGAACTTGTAGGTTACACTCCTAGCAAGCACGTAACAGCAGTAACAAGTCTGTTCATGTTCACACAAGCCCATGTTTTCTTTATACATAAAAAGTGGATACAGTTCATAGTTATAGTGGCAAAATAATAAAAAATACATAAAAACAAAAGCTAACAACTACAGCAAAGTGATTTAAACAAATATAATGAAATTATTATACTTTCCTTTGTCTCATGTTCATGTTTTACTTTGGATTCAGTATTTTATTTTATTTTATATTGATCCCATAGTGTATTTCCATGACACGAATCACTATGTAACATCTCACAACTAGAACCTGTACTAGCCAGTAATTCCCCTCCAGGAGAAACAAAGCAAACCCACCCATTCCCAGCACAGTCACTGTGTGCTATTAGAGTCAGCCCTAGATTTGATGCTAAAGAGGTGCTATATGACTCCTAAGTATTTCTTGATAACACTGAGGAGGGACAGACATGTTACTGCTAATATTTAGTATTGAAATATGGACAGCATGAAGCTACTTTCCTTAACAAAGTTAACTCATAAAAATATTTAATGTTAATAGACAAATATATGTTAAGAATCTGATAATTTAGGAATTTGTCTGCTGTAAGGTTTATAAGCCAGACATCCTAGCTAGACAGTGTTGTGGGTGCTGTGCTTAGTTAGCTGTACTCGTAGGGTACATCTGTTACATCTGTTCTCATTGGTGCCTTGGATTTTTTTCAGAATAAGCACACTATGAAAAAAAAACACTTCAGACATTGTACACAGAAGTAATTTGCTTCAGTACCCTGGAATTCTTCTAGAGAAGATCTGCATATCTTTTGATTCACTACTCTGTCTTTATTTATCAGTGTCATTTCCCAAGACACTCTGTCAGTATTACTGTGAAAACGTCCTCTTAGGCAGTAAGAAGCATTAGCACCCACTAATCTCTTCTAAATTGCTCCTTTCTGCTTTTGATTGCTGAAATGTGATAAAGTAAATAAAATTGCAGGCTATTCTTGCTTCTCTCATATGTGAGTTTTAGGAAAAACCTCTGGGTGCCTCTTGGGCACCCACACTGCTGGGTTATGTTCTTCTTTAAAAAGCCAAGCAAGTTAATAGTTGCTATAAAGTTATTTATTGCAGAAACACATCAGTCTCAAAGGCGAAAACTAAGCAAAGCAATGGCATAAAAGCAATGCCCAAAACAATGGCCAAAGCAATGGTAAAACTGCAGTGGCAAAATGTAATGGCAAAATGCACATGGCATAAAGCCATGGCATAGAGCACCAGCTCTCCCTGATGCATGTTCTTTTATAGAAACTTTCCAACTAGCTAAGACACAAAGTCGGACCACTACTCCTTAACCTATTAGAATTCTGGTTTCTTAGCATGCCAGGCTACATATGGACTACATTCATGGCCTATCTTGTTCTAACTGAAAAATGGAAGCAATATTCTTAACTCTATTATGTCTGAAGCTAGGTTCTTGGAGCCTCTAAAGAAACACTAGTATGTTTTTCAACCTTCACTAGAACATGTACTACTTCTCAAGCATCTAAGACCTTTTACTCACTAAAAGCACTTAAAACTTATTCAATTTACTTACTTACTTATTCACTCCATCTATTCACTTACTCATTCCATTCAAAGACTTTTATTCAATCCCTGCACTCTGATTTCTCCCTGAAGAAATCAGAGACTCCTGACTTACTAACTCCAACAGTCATTGTTATTCTTTACAGGACATTGTTATTATTTACTTCATTTATAAATAAATTAAGGCCAGCACATTCACACACATACAATTGGAAGTGTCAGCTTGAGTCCCTTGCAAGCTATAACATATCAAGCACCACCACTATTGAGTCTGTTTTCTAATGGATAAGACATGAACAGTTTCTTCATTTGCTTTGTCACTTGCAGCAGAGATTGGCCCTTCTGCAACCAAATTGTCCTAATCTGACACTGCTGATGTTCAGCCCAATGGCCAGTTCATAATGTGTTTTACTCTTCTGTCACCTTGTCTTTTTCCTTTAGACAATATCCCAGTTTTTTATCAGTCTAAACATTTCATCTTCTCTGTCCTTCTCTTTTAAGATGTGCACTTCTGAATGGTTGTGGTAGCACTTCTCTGCCCTATTCTGCTTTGTGAATCTGTGTCTTAAATGTTGAAGACATTATCGCATGCAGTTTTTGAAGGAAAGCGCTTGTAGAATAGCATACATACTTTTCTATCTACAGAAAATACATTAATTGATGCTTCCTAGCATTACATTTGTCTCTTTCATAGCTGAATCTTACAGACCATTCATTCTACCCACCTTAGTAATTTCTTATTGATGAGCTCTCAGCTTCTTGCAGCAGTTTTTGCAGTTAGCTCCCACTTGCAGAATCACAATATTTTTTTGTTCATGTGGGACTCATGTAAAATGTCTATTGTTCTTTTCACCAAAGAAACCCACTTCTTTTGAGGTAGGTATTGCAATCCTCTTGTATTGGTACTGACACCCCACATCACTGACTCTCATTAGCCCAGTTGTTCATGCCAAGATTATTAAAGAAAATACTAAATTAGATTTATACTTGAAAAACTCCAGTAGCCAAGCTCCCTGTTGTCTGAAATTCTTCCCCTTAGTACTTCTTGTTGCTGTTTTTCCTTTGCATAGCTGCCTACCCACTAGCTTTCTAAATTGACATATGATTTCCTCTGGAAATGCTTTACTCAAACCTCCCTATATAAGACTGACTGAATTTCTTTGTCTAAAATATAGAGTATATTTCCATGTCAATGTGAAGAACTCTTTCAATGTTAGCCCATTTTGTGTTTAGGTCCATGTCACTCATTAACCATCCTTTCAAAATTTGTTCTAAATTCTCCCATACTCCTGAGGTCAATCTTACAGGACTGAATTAATTAATATAATTTTTCTATTCTTAATGCAGGCATTACATATACTGTTCTCCAGTCAAATGACATGGCTTCTAACTGGATAGAATATTATAAAAATACTTGCCACAAGGCTATAGCAGACAATTATTTCTATGATGTATCATTATAATGGAGCAGTGAAAATGAAAGGTGTATTTCTGTCTAGCTTTATTTTCTGAAAGAAACTTCTAATCATAGTAAGGTGAGAGAGCTTGGTCATGTGCAATATGGGTGAGAAATTCTTGTCCATTTATTTTTACTTAGCCTTTGGTCTTTTTAGTGTATACATGGGTTTTCATTTCAGTGGCTGTTTACAAAAATCTTACTGGAATAAGAATGGAAACAAAATGAATAATAGAGTGATTTCTGTTAAATAATAAAGAAGTCAATCTTTGTCATTTCATACAGAAAGGAAAATTACTTTGGTATCTCATTTCTCACCAACTGAGCTGGTAATAGCAATTGAGAATCGCTGAAATAATGTTCTTAAAGGGCTGTCCTCATTCTGATAAGGCTGTCTTTTCCTTGCATTTTACCAGTTTTTGAGCATTCATCAAGTATCTTAAATGTGACCTGACATGGCAGTATATGTTATAATCATTTTATGGTATTTTATTAACACAGGGAGTATGATGATAAATTATGCCAGTTGTGTGGCAAAATTCACAAATTGTAGTCAGCAGAAGGTAGTCCCCATATCAATCTAATTTAATGACTTTGATGGGAATTTTTTTTAACTCTCTTCTTCTTTGGTGATGATGGACTTAACCTTAGAAAAACAGAATATCATCTTTTGAATTGAGATTATGGACTGCATTTAGACAAGACCTGTTCTCTTTTTAAGAAAAAGCTGTGAATTCTCTTATAAACCTAGGCAGTGTTGGGGAGCACTGCATTACATTAATTTTTTCATAGTTGTCTTGGTTTGAAAGACAGGTATTTGCTAAGGAAAGGCAAGAACCCCTTTTCTGAGATGCAGAGTGCAACCCCCTCCCTTCTAATTACTATAGTTTCAAATCAGAGGCTTTCAGGCAGAAGATATAACAGCTCTTTACTGATATCTAACAAGGCTAAACATCAGAAACAACAACAGCTATAAAAATTGACAACAAAACAGAACAGTATAGTTCAGTTCCAGTCCCTTTTGGCCACAGGTTCCCTCTCCCTGCGCTCAGTTACCGGTGCTGTGGGCAGGGCAGGTCCCTCACAGTCGAAGAGGGCTGGGTGATGGCGGCAGCGGCCCAGGGGTGAGAGGGATGGGGAAGCGACTCCCCCCTCACGGTGTCGGTCGTGGTGCTTGGCAGAGTGCCCGGAGGTAGTAGGATGAAGTGGGAAAGCAGCACTGCGATGTCTGACAGCAGGGAACGTGGCTCTTGGTGCTGGGATGGCGAGGAGGATGCTAAATCGGAGCCCCGGCTGTCTTCCTTCCACTCCACCTTTCCTTTTCCGGTCTCCCCTATCCCCCACTGCCCTGTGAGAGAAAACTATTGTTACTAAGGTGTAGCCACAAATACTTAGCATAACAATGGGGGAAATTCCACAGAAAAAAAAGGGAACAATTCAACCCCCAACAATAGTGCTGCTATGTTGATTTCCCATGGTGTTACGTAGGGAATTGCTGTTCAGGAATAGACAAGTAACAGAGGAAGTGTAGTTCTGAGTCCCTGGGAGTCCATCCATGAAGGTGTTTAGTAATATGCTGACATTACAGAAGTTACTGCCAGATGGTCCAGCTATGGACCAAAGAATATTCTTTGATTTCACTTCATCTTCAATTTTAGTTTTCAGTTTGCTGCATATGGATTTCTCAGATGATGGGGTCTGTTTAAGGAGAAGTCAGACTTATTTCAGCTGAACTGTGCACACGGATATAGTAAGCAAAATTTGGCCCATTTTTTTTCACCTTATTGTGTCTTGTAGAAATGTCCTTGAGCCAGAAAATTTCCATATTTAAAAATGTTCAAATCAGCATTTGCATTTTTTTTCCTTTTTCAGAGCTTTGAAAAAGGGTAGGAAAAGAAAATCTAAGTATGGTTATCATCTAAATTGCATTGTGTGGTTGACTCTGTAATAATAAAAATTTCTAACAAAAATGCATAAACTTGTATAGGAGTTCAGTGAAAATATATGATTTATAATAACTTCTCAGACCCCAGTTTTGCATTGACGGCAAATAAAAAATAGTAGAAAAACGTTTCTTGGCTTTGTTGCTAGCTAATAATGCAGAATTCATGCCCATATTTAATACATTTTTAAACAGAAGGGACAGTTTGGTAAATGTGTGGCCCAGTAATCACACACAGAATGGACAGCTGTATTATCATTTCCCCATCTGTAATGCAGGGTTTACATTCATATCAGACACTAATGTAAATGTCTTTATGTTTTCCCTTTGCTTAGATACAAAATTATTTAGGTAACGTATTCTTTATTGCATTATGCCTTGTGGCTGTGCAGCTCGTTTAATTTGATACCTTACCTACCATTTTCTATAGTAGGTGAGAAGATCATATAGCCTAGAAAGCTGTAATTTAATAAAATTTTTGAAGCCTTGACAAGGTGTTTTGTCTTTCAGGGATCTCCATCTCAGGTTAAACATTTGCATGGCTTTGCAGCTATGTTTTCACATGGACATGTGGTTTCTCATCTGTTGGGGTCTCATATCTGAGGAAGATGATAATTTAAAAACTATGTAAAACATTTTAAAAATTACTTTTGAAACATTTCTAATTCTCTTAAGAGAGCCCCCAGATATTCATGATTTTATTGCCCCTCAGAGGTGACCAGCCATTACCTGTTTCTTGGCTGGATCTCATGCTTCATTTATGAATAGTCACAATATTATTATCTAATAGTAAGCAAAATGGAGATGACTTGCAGCCTTTGTGTAAACCTTTGAAAAGATTTTAATGTACAAAGAAGTGTTAGCACTAGGAACCCCAAAAATGTACTGTAATCTTGCAGTCTGGCAAGTACCTAGCAGTTCAGATAAGCTTCATAATGTGATGTTGAATTTTCCTTGCTTGCCTTGGGACCAAAAAGCTGACAATGGATTGCAATTCCTTTTGGTACTGTAATATATTGTTATAGAAATCTGCTAAGTATAATTGAGCTTTGTTGAATGCAGACGTGAACTTACCCTCCTATATTAATATTTCTCTGCAGGCCTTTTTTTATATTAGTTACAGGACAGTCAGATTTTCTAAATGACCTAAGTGACATAAGATCATAGATTTCATTCAGAATCAATTTTCAAGTCTCAATTTTTCTTAAAAGCAAACAAACAAACAACCCCCAACCAACAAAAAACCTCCAAACAAATTCCAGGTGTGCTTTAGAAAAACTCAGGAGAGTTGATTTCATGTCTGCTTAGCCTTTTAAAGGCAGTGTGGCAAGTTGCCATTTTCTCCAAATCCCAGCTTCTTTGGTTCTGCACCTTCTGATTGGCAGTTGAAACTTATGCTTTTCTGACTTGTGACACTTCATGAGCCTGAATTCCCAACTTCTCAGTGCTGCAGTTCCCACACTTCTCAACTATGAAGTAGTCTAGCAGCACTGATTTACTTGAAAGAAAATCCTGAAAATCCTGTTTGGTAGGAAACACAGATAATTTGAATTTTTATTCCTTTAGGGAACAAATGTTCCCTAGGTATGTTCTGAAGGTTGGTATTGTTTGTGTAGTAGAAACAGGAGAATTACTGCCCAGCTATGCTCTGAAGTCCTTTAGATGACTTTTAGAAATTCCATGCTGAAATCTCAGTTTTGTATAGGTAGATTTCTCTGGCTGTATTCAAGAAGGATCAAAAGCAGGAAGCAGTTATTGCCAAGTTTTCTGTGGCAAGGAGAAGATCATGTATTGATGAGCTAAATTTGAACTTTCACTTCGTTTTAACATTTGTGATCATTATTATTGCCTACACTAGAATAATTCTCAGTTTGGTCAATGCTGCAGCTATTAAGTTCCATCATTTGGAGAGATGTAAATATAAACAGGCAGAAAAATAGCATCTCAACTTAATCCATGTATTCTGACATCAAGGCAAAAATTGCCACTTTTCAGTATAAGAAACTTTACTTGGAAGAAATGTTCTCTCTCTCTCTGCTTATCTTAGGTGATTTCATGTCTACTCATAGTACGTCCATTCAGTGCTTCAGAAAAAGCAAGAGTGGTGGGTGGTGCAGTGCAGAGAAGGCCCTTGTGTCTACTGATGCATGAGGTGTATCAAACAAGCCTCCACTGATTTTACTAATGCAGTGGTGCAAACAGTAGAAACTGCCTAGGGCCTTCTCTGTTCCTTTGGAGTAATGTTGACATTTGGTGGAGTACGGGCAACAGTGGTGCTATTGATGCAATAGCAAAATACAGGAGGGAAATGACAGCCAGATAAGGTAGTGGCTGCTGCTTACGAGGTAAAATAGGGAAAGGCAGCAAGTGCCTTCTGTTCTGTTTTTCCAGTTTGGTAACTGCAGTACAAGTGTTGTGGCCATGTGAATAAAATGGTAGCACCAATCTGAAGGATGTTTTAGACCATACACTTTCAATGTTCAATATAAACACTGAAGGGACAAGTTCCACATCCCTTCACATCTATATGTCCCTCCTTCTTTCACTGTCCTTGCTAACAGTATCTCTAATTCCCCTGCTCTCCCTCTTTGAGCAAGGTATTCACTTTCATTGTGCCTTTCTGCAGAGAACATTGTGTTCTCTTTGGAGGATGTTGAGTTCACTTCCTGCGGCTGTTAGTGATGCGCCTTAAATCTTCTTTACAATGTTCCCCTGCCTGTTGGAAAGTCAAGCAAAGCATTGACTGTGGATACAATGCAGCCTTGTTTGCAGTGGTAATTGAATAAGGAGCAGTATATTGGAAGGCTGAGTTGCCAAGTGCCTAAGAAGGGAGTGGAAATTTTAATACTTTCATGGTCTTCTCCCATCTTTCTCTTAGGAAAATAGAAGGCATGGGAAATCTACTGTTTGGAAAGAAGTTCTAAATATTGGTTTACAGTGAAGCTCCTGTTTGCAGGCTCTTGCAAAAAGTAAACCCTCAAATGCTGCTGTCAGGTCAGTTTCCAGTGAAGCTCATATTGGATTATTTCTGGTTTCCAGTTTCTTTGACAGCTCATCATCAGTCCCACCTCCACCTCACACAATTTTAAGATCCTGTTCAATAAGTAGAAAAAGTATAAACATGGTTCTGTACTCCAGTTTTCCTGGCCCAGGGTGGGGGAGGAGGGGAGGAGAGGAGTGGATAAAAAAACATGGAAAGACAAAACTGCGTGTTCAGTGAGGAGTTTTAACAGGACAGATCTCTTTTTCCTTTAAGTTTGGAGTGTTGCCCTAACTTTGAAATTCTTTACTCTCAGTCTCTTCTGGCTAGCTCTAGTCCTTTTCATTTGTCTCTTCCCAGCCTCTGTTCCCCTTCCTTCACAAGCACTGCTGACTCTGCTCCTTCCTGTTTCTCCCTTGCCTATGGTCTCAGAGTATCATTGCCTCACTCAGCCAGGATAGTGTCATGAATACTGCATACTGTTCAAATGTGCATGTCTGATATGCAAAGTTCTAAATTAAATGCTTCTGTAGATAGAAACTGTGGGGGGAATATCATGAATCAGAGTCAAGAAATTTGCTGTATTTTCTAGAGAGAGAAAACACATTGAAAATAGTAATTTGTAAATGACACATATGCCTAGTGAGTGAATGATATGTGATGTTCTAAAAACTAGGATTTATCATAAAAATAATTTTAAAATAGTGACCTCAAGTTTGTGTTTAATCTCTATCTACAGGGCAGTTCGACTGTACCTCAAGCTTTGCTACTTATGTTTACCTAACCTTTTCAGAGGGATTTCTGTTATGAAAATTAAGCAAGCATATTAAGTTTGCTGGTGGTTTGTTTTATACCTGAACAGAGAGGATATTTTACTTCTTCCTCTTTGCATCAGCACTTCATATACTTGTTATATATATATATATCAGCTGATTTCTCAGTATCTCTCTTCCTCAGATGGAACATCTCTCATACTTTCAGCATTTGCTCAAAGAGTTTTTTATCCGGACATAGTTCATCCTTGTTTTCTTACCTCTAAATTCTTAGTGGTGTACAGTAGGTGGATTTTTTTGAAATGTAAAATACTAAACTGACCAAACTACTTTAGAGAGGGTTTGTTAGCTCTGAATGCTGTAATGTTTAGGAGGTTTATTTTCTTGTCTTGACAGTGCAGCAGTGTTGACTGATATTTGATTTCTGAGCCATTCTAACCCCCCAGGTTGTCTTCTGTCTCCTCGCTGGCCATCCAGTATTTGTGCAGTTGATTGTGACCTTCATCTCACTGACAAGTAAAGTATAGCACTTAGTGTTTGTCTTTATTGAGGCACTCATATTTATTTCAGACCACTTTTCCATTTTCTTAGATTTGTTTGGGATTCTATACCTGATCTCCATTGGTTTTTGCCCTTTTCAACTTTCCTTGTCTGTACTCACAGCAAGTGTATTACATCACTCAAGACATTAATGAAATGACTGCTCACTGTGAGTTTTAGTAAGACAATGAGCTAGTGATTACCCTTCAAATGCAGTTTTTGAATTAGGAATGTGCATGCTTTATGTTACTCACATTCTCTTTGGCTCACTATGGAAGGACTGCATGACGTAGATCAGGGCAGCATTGATAGGTTCTAATAATGCCACAGGAGTTTGGATTGTCGTCATTTGTGTTGTCTGCTACTGATCACCATGCCAGTAGAATAAAAAATCTTCATTATTCTCTATCCTTGCCAGAAATTACAGTTAGGTGCACTGAAATATGAATCTCTGTGTTCTCTTTTTCCTACTCTGTGTATCTGCCTTTTCCTTCTCTTTAAGTATCTCTTTGTCTTCCAAAGGTTCTTGAAGACTCTTCTTGGAAAACTGTCTCATCTACAAGGTTGTTGTCATTGCTTATATCAGGCTGACACTTTTTACTTATGCTTTCTTGAAATTATTTGTTTGTAGGTGTCAGATACTGTACAAGAAAATTTCAGCTTTTCAATTAATAGATTATTTTTAATTACTGTTACTGCCCCCTCACATTTAGCAAAGACACTCTTTAATAGCTTTTTGAGAAGAGACTGTTGTTATTTTTAGATGTTTGTGGTGTTTTCTATTTTTTTCTGGAGACTTGGGGCTAGGTTCAGACCTACCCTCAATGTCTCAGTTTCTTTGGATGTCAGGAGGTAAGATCCTCAGTTAGAATGAGGCAAGGGCATTTAAACTATTTTGAAGTAAATCATCCTAACTGTGCCCCAGGCCACATTCAGGAGGTTAAGCCATCTTTGCTTTTTGCCCTTCAAGTCAAGCTGAGCAGATATCTTGCTCATCTGGGAAATGAGCTTACTGATTTTACATGAAACACTTCATTAACTTAACTTTTCTCCCCTTTGAATGTAGTACTTCTTTAAAGTGCTTTTACAAAATTATCTTTCTTCCCTTTTACCACACATTTCTGGTGAAAAGCTTGTCTGACTGAAATAGGTATAATCTTCAGTTAGGGCAGAAATTTCACCCTAGAATTTAAAGCATAATTATACTGTGTAAGTCTTAAGTAATGTTCCCATTTTACTAAGCTCACTTCTTCTCTCTAATGACTCTTCAGTCAAAACTAAGTAGAGAATAAGGAAAGCAGCATTTATAATCTTGATTTTGTATAGACAAAACCAATGTTACAAGTTAATTTTTATGTTTTCAGAACTAGACCAAATTCTCTGCAACTATTTCATTGCATATTAAATAAATCTGGCTGAAGAATGGATCTGTGTCTCGGCAAACAATCTCAGGAAATCTGAGCTGAATTGATGATCTTGACATTGGCATTACCTTCTCATGCTTTATGTTTTCCATCTGTAAAATGAGGATAACAATACTGGTATTTCTTTAAAGCCTTTAGACATCTTTGGCTGAGAACATTTTTGGGTATAGAAGTGACACTTCTTTACTTTCCAGAAATCCTTTCAAGCTTTAAAATAAATAAATAAATAAATAAATAAATAAATCAGCTTTTTGTGCTGGCAATTGCAGACTTCAGTGTTACTAGACTTGGGACATTTTTCCAAAAATGAGTCATGAGAAATGAGCTCTTTCTTTTGCAGCCTTTGGTCTTGCAGCTGAGCTACAGAAGGTTGGTATTTTTGCTTTGCAGCAGAAACAGCCACCAGTTTAGATGCTCTCAGGGAATAAGCATGACAGTTCTCTTGCAGTTGGAAAAGGAAGCCTGTGTAGGGGTCTCCTCTTAGAGCAGTTTTTTTTTGGTATCCCAGTAAAGAACTAAGTGTCTTTTAGAATATATTTAAATAATGAAGGGATTAAAGGACATTGATGCTTAAAAATAGAACAGAGCTGTTCTTAATGACATAGAATAATGGTTCAGAATGAAACAGTTCTGACTACACCCTTACATAAGAGGGAGAAAAGAAATCAACTTTGCTTGAGGACCAAAAGTCCTGAATTTGTGGGAGAGGAAAATAAAGAAACTGAGAGATCTTGTTACATTGTGACAGTTTCTGGTAGACAATGAAAGTGAAGATTTTCTAATTATCAGGAGGTTAGGGGGGGAAGGTTGTGTGGGTTTTTTTGTATTGTTAAACAATTGAGGACTTCAAATGAGAGAAGTAGCTGTTACATAATATTTAGCACAGAAAGATCTCAAGGTTTCTGTGCAATTCCTTTGATATGGAGTCAAGCAGGGGTAAAGCACTTATGTTTTTGTGTTTCTTAAAATTACTTTTTCAAGTCACTGAGTGGTTCTGGTATCTCAGGGAGCAGTCTAGGCCAGACTTGACGATGGAGTTGCATCATATGCTGCTGTCCCAATGGAGGTGGGAATAAGCAGACAGCTTCCATTAGAGACCACTGTTGAGATTACAGCAGCTTGTTGGAAGTACTGTTTGCATTCCAAAGAGTAATTGCACATCACTAGAAGACGTCCCTCTCTGTCGCATGGCAGAAAAAGTCGACATTGACTTGGCAGGGAAAGGAAAGAGAATTGCTTACTGCAAGTGGGGAAAGCTTTAGGCCCATATTTCTATCCCATGACATATTCTCTCTCCTTCCATACGGAAGCCTTTAAGAGCTTGTATGCTTCTATTCTCAATGATTTACAGCCTTATATGTTTTCCAAGTTTTGAATCTAAATGGCTATTCTGGTTTGTTGTGGGGTTTTTTTATGTTTTAATGTACTTTCAAAGCCAAGGTTCTCCAAACTTCAGCTGCTAGCTTGGGGAAAACCATTCCACTGCCCATTAAATTTTACTGTGAAGCAACTTTTCCCCAATGATCTGATTTTTTCTAAATTTCTTCCTGTAAATGTTTAGATTCTTCTCTTCATTTTAACCCACAGATTTCCTGGTTTCACATCTTCAAATATTTGTAGATTTTTTTTGTAAGCTATTCTTCTGTCCTTCTCATTTTAGGTCTGTTGGACTCTTTGGATGTCTGCCCTGTGAATCCTTCTATTTATTTTCCCACATTAAGGTGATTGTAAGTGAATGCATAGTCATAAAATGATCCTTTCCTATGTACATCTTCTGCTTACATCTCTGTGCAGCCTAATCTTTCAGTTGATAATTTGTTGCCAAAGCACTCGGCAAATTTGTCTTTCACATTTACCTTTTGCAGGTCTTTGCTAAAAGTTTCCTGCCTTGCTCTGGTGCCAAAATGCAAGTTGGCTAATTTAAACTCTTGAAATACATTAGCACAGTGAAATGATTGAAAAGTTTATTGGGTAGTGGAAAGCTTTCAGGTTAACAGTTTTGCATTCATAGGTGATTTCAAGGAAAGGAAGGTGGGAAGAGAAGAATATCTGGGTAGTATCTGTACCTAAGGAAAACCTATGGTAGCCTGTGACTGCTGTAATGAGCCTTGAGGCCACTGGCAGTTAGCATCTTTCAGGTCCTCTGCCTTACCCTGGAAGGCTGGACCACCATGAAGTAGCTACAAGATGAGAAGTAGAGTGCAAAAGCTAATTTAAAACTCCAGCTGCCTCGTCCTCCCCGTTTTTGCCAAATATTTTGTGATCAGCATTGTTGCCTCCCTGAGTGGTCACCTTTTGGAGGGCACAGGCCTCAGCTCAATGACAGCTCACACATCCTTTGTAACTGCACAGGCACTGCTTGCCTTTATTGCAGCTGGTGTTCACTTGGCCGGTTCTGTACAAGGGTGAACGATCCTGCACGATACAATATGTCCCTTTTCTCAATAGCTATCTCGTACATTTGCTTATGGTTTTCAAGATGGATCTTCTTCATATCTGTAGCTGAGACTGCTGCCTTCCCTACATCCTGGTGTGGGATTTTCTTTACTCTAAGGCATTTGGGGTGTTTTATGAGTCTGTTATTGTTGATGAGTCTATTATAATTAGCCTATTTCTCAAGGCATTTTCATTACTGTAAGAACAGTAGTGAGACAAAATATAAGAAAGTTTGAGAGAAGGTTTTTTACCAAGAGCTTCTAGTAACAAGACAAGGAGTAATGGTTTTAAACTAAAAAAGAGTAGAATTAGATTTGACATAAATAAGCAAATTTTTTTTATGATGAGAGTGATTAGACACTGAAACAGGTTGTTGTGGATGTAGTTTTGTTGGAAATGTTCAAAGTCAGGTTGAATGGAGCTTTGAAAAACCTGATCAGAGAGGCCCCTGCCTATCACAGATGGGTTGGACTAGGTGAAATTTAAAGGTCCTTTCCAACCCAAACCATATTATGATTCAGTTCTGAAAACGATTTGGCCTATTTGACAGGTATCTGGGTGTTGAAAGTCACGTCTGTTCATTGTTCAGAGGTGTAATGTTTAATATCTTGCTCAAGTCATCTTAATTCAGTTCTCTTTTTTTCTCAGTCCAGCAAGACTTGGGATAAAACTGTTTTCTTTCTGGGTACTAATGCTTGATTCAGCTGTGCAGGTTCTTACTGCCTCTTTTGTCAGCTTAGGAGGATTGTATATGGAAAGTGCTTGTTGCATCTTGGCTATTTTGTCATATGCTTCTGTTCAAATGAATGCTTTGTGCTGTTTGCTTAGCTAGAAAAAGCAAACATTTGAGTTTCAAGCCATTGGACAGACTGTGCTGCAATCCAAACCTCCTTTTACCACACTGCATTTCTCTCCTTGATTACTCAGTCGAGTTGGGCCAGGCCCAGCTTTCTGCCCAATTATGTGTCTCAATGTTTTTCAATTTCACAGCTTAAGCAGAGCTCAGACTTGTTCCTCCATGCTGGGATCAAGTTCTACCACTGCAGCTTCTTTCTGTGCATTTCATTTGGGTTTATAATGGGCAGACACGGTGCAGTTACCTCTGGAGGTGAAACAAGTCATGTCTCTCACAGATGTTGAACATCTTCTGAGCCAGGGTTTCTGCTCCTCCAGCAGACTCTTGCTTTTCCATGCAGCACCATGAAAATGAGCAGGGCTGAACACAGAGATGGATTTAAAAGCTTAGTTTATAGGTTTTGTCTCTGCAGAAGATGGTGTTGAGGGGGCACAGTCCATGGTCTCTTAAGCATAGGTCTTTCTATTTCCTCCAGAAGTGTTCTTTCTTTCCCTACCAGCAGCACGTAGGTCAGTGTTCAGAGTGTTCTAATTGCCTAGACAACTAAGCTGGGGCAAAGTTCTGATCACTTCTCAAAGGAAAGCAGTCCAGTCTGGTCCAGTGTTACATCCCAGATGTTTGCTGGGATGGTTAAACTGGTCATAGGATGTGGCTCATAAGCTGACCTGACTGATTACTGTTACTAGAGGGATTTAACCACCTGAATGGGGTCTGGGTGTCAGGTGAGCATGGGAATAAGTGAGACAGGAGATGTGGGAATGGCATGAGTTGAGATGAGTGCAGCACCTCTGCTTTCCCTGGAACCTTTTGAGATATCAGCCTAACTCAGTGTGTCCTGAGGTTTTAGCATCTCATCAAGATGCTGAGAGAGGCAGACTTCCTTGCTCCTGGCCACTTGCTTCCCCTGTGCTGGCAGCCGACTCCCTTGAGCCAGCTGAACTCCCTAAACCACCAGAAAATAAACTGTTTCTAAAAATGTGAGTTCTCCAGCTGTCTCAGCAGATCAACTCACCACTAGAGCCAGTTCCACAGGGCAGCAGGGAGTCTCTCGTAGGAGCAAGGCTCGGACTGACAACTATCCTGTGAAACAACCACCTTCCCTAGCTCCTTCCACCAGGCTGAGGTTTGGCGCTTGATCAATGCCTTTACTGATTTAGCTGCACCTGGTGAAGAAAACCTCCAGTGGAGTGTTACAAAAACTGCTTTGACATTCCTTCTATGTTTTTGACATAAAATAGTTACTGTATTTTTTAAGAAGCATCTTAGCATACACGTGGCTGTATAAATTGAGAATTGCATATATATAGCCCAGAACACCAAACCTTTTATTCAGACACCGTGATGCATTTTTGTACTACTTTGTTAGAGTATGAATTTTCAGTCCGAAAAATAATGTTATTATCCCAATTTCTGTTGCTGAAGGTTGGTTATACAGGACTGTCCTCAGCAGAAGACAATGCTGCAGTTCATACCAACAATTCAGCTTTTATGCAGTAATAATTAAAAGGGGAAAAATGCATTTATTTACTGGCCAATTATCAAATTTTAAAATTTTTTAAGATTGGTCTTCACTGAAAGATAAAATGAAGAGAATTGCAAAAGGAAAATTAGGTCATTAATGTACTTTTTGCTTCTAGCTTTCGCTTCATTTGATTGTAAATTGTTTGCAGTAAAATTGCAAATTAATAGCTTGCATAAAGCACTATGAATTCCTTCAACATCAGATAACTGTATAACTGTAGCTGGATGCATTCTTTGGGACTTATTGTCCATTCCTCTATATTATGTGCTTGAACTCTCAATTGCTCACTGTTCGATGCACATTGGGATGCTGGAAAATGCTAAGAAGATGTGAAATGGAAACCTAGGTGGTGGCATGCTCTTGCTACCAAACACAGACATCAGAAGATGCACCACATCCCACAGCAGGCTTCCAAACAGGAATGGCTCTCAGAAAACCATGTTGCCTTCCAAGAGTAGTGCAAAATTTACATCCTGAGCTGGCAGAGAGACAAGGGTTACACTGAAAATAGGTTTTTCACATTTTGTCAGAAGAGCAGTTTGAAATACCAAGGTTTCCAGCCCTCCTGGAAAAGAAAAAATACTGCATGAACTTCACAGTTAGTTGTCTTCAGTGTCTTACCAAGGAGAAATATCCTAAAATGTAGGCAACGTAAATTTTA